ACTTATTATGGCAAGACAATGCTGCCACAAAAAGTATTTGTGACGACAATTAGACCTTTTTTGTGACAGCACTTTACCGTCGTAAAAACCCTTTTTTTCCTATAGTACGTGCGGGGATGAAAGCGAGGATGAATTGAAATTTACCCATGTCCTGCCCCCGCTAACCCGTGATATATAATAAACCCCAATCCCATTCCCACCGATCTATAAAATTAATTTCAAAATTTAGTGGTCCATTTCTTTTTATTTTTCATTTCCCTTCTTTTTTCCTCCTCTCCACTCCCACCTAACAGAAAATGACAACTTGCTTTCTCCCTCCCCACTCTCCTTAATCTCTCTCATCTCTCACACACTCTTTCTCTCCTTCCTTCTTATTTCTCTTTCTTCATCTCTCTAATCCTTAGATTTGGCCACACCTCACATTTCAAGGCAAATAGGTAACAGATCTCGCCAGCCCATTCATGATCCCTTAGATGGTGTTAGTGACCTCCTAGCGCCACTCCTTTTCTTCATTTCTCTCTTTTCTACTATGTCACTGTTTATCTGATCTCTCTCACTAGAAAGACTATCCATCTCTCTCACCATGCTTCTCTCTCTCTCTCTCTCTCTCTCTCTCTCTTTCCTCTCTTTGTGTCCCAAACCCCCACCACCTGCCCATTCCTCTCATCTTTAATTCCACCAATGCAAAAAAAAAAAAACAAAAAAGACATTTTTCACCCATCCCCTAAACTAGATCTGCAAGACCAAAAGTCTACGCTCTACCCCTCAACTTTCTCTCTCTCTCTCTCTGCAATTCCAGTAAGATTCATGTTTCTGGTGGCAATCCGTTTTCCAATGAGGTAAGATCAATTACCTTTGTGTTTTTTTTTATGGTTTTTGTTAGATCTGTTATTCTTTTTGTTAGATTTGTGATGAGTGTTGTTAGATCTAAGGGTCTGTGTTACGCTAGCTATTGAGGGTTTTTGTTTCGAATCTATGGTGCGTTAGATAACAGGTTTTTAGATGTTGCTTGTTCTGATTTTTTTTTTTTAAATCTGCAATTTTTATGTGCTACATCTGATTTTCTATGTTAAAATGAATTTTCTAATTTTCTATTACTTGAATATGGTGTTTGTTGAATTTTGATTATAATGTTAGATATGGTTTTGCTGATTTTTGAGTTTCTTCTACTTGATTTTTGCTCTTTGAAAATTGTTGGATAGACTTCTTGCATGCTCATTATACCAAATGCTAGTCTTTATTGATGAGGAGAATTATGTTACAATTTTCAGTTGGTGACATGTAATTTTTTTTATTTTTTGGATTATTTAGAATGTGGATTATGTTAGGCTTGGGATTGGGTGAGGGTGAAGGCGGGGGACTAGGCGGGGTTTTTCAAAATCGTAAAAAATTAGCCTTTCTCCCACCACCAACCATCATTCATAACCACCATCACCCACCACCCAAAAATTTGAAAAACTAGCTCATCACCACCACCATCCAAAACAGTGAAAAATTAATGAACAAAAATATTGAAAAGACATAAATAGTGAACTTTAATATAATGAAACTCTTAATTAACAAATCAGTGAAAAATTAGCCCACCCAACCACCACCACTTGCCACCCACCACCCACTATTGCTATTCACCATTGATGCCAACCATCACTATCCAAAACAGTGAAAAACTAGTCTACCACCATCTCTACCTACCACCTACACCATAATCCACCGCCGCCACAGCCCATCACCGCCACCACCCACCATCACCACAAACCACCAAAGTCACCAGCGCCACAAACTACTACCACCACCACAGCTCACCACCGTCCATTACCACCATCATCGTCGCCCACAACCATTACCACCCACAACCACCATCATCGTCGCCAATGACCACCAACCAAAATCCACCACCACCTATTGCTAACCACCACCAGCCAAAACCTACCATAACCACATGCCATCCAAAACAGTGAAAAGTTAGTGAACTTAAAAATATTTTAAAAAACATAAATAGTGAATTTTAATATAATAAAACACTTAAGTTAGCAAAATTTTGATAAATAATGAATTTTAATATAATGAAACTCTTAGTTCACAAAACCTTCACAAACAATGAAATTTAATAGAATGAAATTCGTTGTTCACTGTATAAAATTTTTATAAACAGTAAAATTTAATAAAATGAAACTAATTTTCACAAATAGTGAACTACAAAGATATTGAAAATTTGAATTATGAAACATATCTCAAAAGCAACAAACTCAAAAATATTGAAAAAATTATAAATAATGAACATTAATAGAATGAACCTCATAGTTCATAAAATTTTCAATTTCAAATTTTACTGTTTCAATGATGGTGCAAATAAATTGGGTCATTTCACTATTTACCCATTTTACTTGGTGTTGAAATTTGAAAAATTTTAAAACAATAAATTTTATCTAATTTTAATATTTCAGACAATAAAAATTCAACTTTTTTCACTGTTTTGGTCATTGAAATTTAGACTTAATTTTATCTCATTAACCTTGTGTTGGAACATAGAAAATTTGAAAAGAGTAAATTTCATCTTATTTTAATATCTTCGAAAGTAAAAATTCAACTTATTTACTAAAATATAATTAATGGCATGAAAATTATCCATACCAAAAATAGTGAACTCAAAATTAATGAAAATAGTAAACTCAAAAATAATAAAAATTAGGGAACCCAAAAATAGTGAAAAACAGTAAACTCAAAAATAATTTTAAAAAAATTACTGAACTTAAAAACAGTGAAAAACTATTGAACTCAAAAATAGTGAAAAATAGCGAAATCAAAAACATTGAAAAATTACTGAACTCAAAAACAATGAAAAATAATTGACCACAACATACTAACCCAAAATTTTCACAAATACTAAATTTTAATAGAATGAAACTCCTAATTGATTGTCCAAAATTTTCATAAACAATGAATTACAATCAATAACAAAATAAAAATCATTCAACAAAAAGGGCAAAGATTAGTGAAATTATGCATACAAAAAATAATTACAATTTTCTCAGATTTAATTCATTGTAAGGGAAGGACACATTAATTTTTTGAACAATAAAATTGCATGCAATTCACTGTCCAAAACACCATAACCAAAAAGTAAAAAACAAACAAAACAAACATAGCAAAAAAAATCATTTCACTGTCCAAACATTACTTATTGGCCAAACAACCTAGAAATTCTCCCCTTATTGTGGACTCCAATCTGCTTCAGAAAAGCAATATTAATTTATTAACATAATTTACTAATCTAATTCATTACAATTTATTGGATTAGTTGCATATCACAACGAATATCGAGACTCATTATGGACCCAATGGTTATGAAAGCTTAGTTTGCAATAATGACATCCAAATCTGACCTTTGTCCCTGAACTGCTAGTTCCATGCCTCATTCTAATATGCTTCATTTCTTGCAAGCATGGAAACAAGTAGTTGCATAAGTAACAAAAATCCAAAACCAGTAAGACATTAATTGACTGTTAGGTTTGGACTTCATCACGTCAACAACTCAGAACTAGGAGAAAATGAAAATGAAGGACAAACACTTAAACATTAGAAAACCAGGGGTGGCTCAACAAGATTTGAGGTCTAAAGCAAGGACGGTTAATAATAATTTAATTTTTTAATTTAAAATTTATTATTTTTATTTTTTGATGAGATTAACACCAAGTTTCAATATTTGATAGAACCCACAATCAATCCAAAGATCATAGTGAATTAAATCAGTAAATTAGGTTCCAATAGCATTGCTCGTTCCTAAATATCTGTCATTTAAGATTTTTATACAGAGATTAAATAAGTTATTAAATAGTTCTAATATGAGTAAAAAATAATTACACAAAACTAAAATACCCTTATTCAATACGTATTGGGAAGGTACGGAATATGAAAGACACTTAGCATCCACCAAATCCAATGCATTGAAAAGTTAAGAGTAAATTTGGAAGAAAAAATATTAATTATGTTTTGATTTCATNGTACGGAATATGAAAGACACTTAGCATCCACCAAATCCAATGCATTGAAAAGTTAAGAGTAAATTTGGAAGAAAAAATATTAATTATGTTTTGATTTCATTAAACAACAGATATTATGGAACAAAAAAAATTATGTAAAACGATAGATATTTAGAAACGAAAATAATATTTAATTAGAATGGATTAGAGTGTAAAAAAGTGGACTTAAACTTGTCTTTATCACAATAAAACTGCTATGTTTGTATTTAATGATTTAAAAGACCATTTAGAAACACCTTTGACCAATTTTAAAAAAAGGTTTAAATTTTGAAGCCACCATAATGTTATTGGAATGAGTAAATCTATAAGTCAAATTTGCATCTCAAATTTACATCTTAAATGAAGGGAACATTGAATCAGTGAGTCTTATTTAAAAAAATTGATAGGACTCACTCATCCAATGATCTTTCTTCATTTGAGATATAAATCTAAATTATAAATTTGAATTACATAATATTTTTCTATTAGAATATGTTAGGTAAGATAACATTAAGGCACCATATTAAAGTTGCTTTTTAGGTTTCAATAACATTCTTCTTAGTACTTTGTCCAAGAAAATGGGCATGATGCATTTTTCATCAATATTAATTCAAGTACCTCATCAAAAATTGGATTTGTACTGTGCTTTTAACTATAATTATTTGTCTCATTAGATGCTCAACTATATTTATTTATTTTACATGAATTTAAAAAATTGAGAATGTTTGTTTTACTACACGTGGGCATTTTTTGTGCAAAACATGCTGACCTTTGCTTTCTGGGTTGTGTGAAACTTATTGAAATAGTTGTGGGTCGATATGAGAAAATCAATGGCGCAGACGAAAAAGTGAGATTAAGGTCATAGTTGAGGGGTCAACGTATAATTTGTTCTCAACTTTTTCATTAATGGTTCAGTTTGTGCCAGCCAGATCAAAATACATATGATTAAACTTGACACAGATTCTTAAACCTGCCCAAGAAGTTCTGAGAAAGATAATTGCAAAAACAAAATCAGTAATATCTAAAATATTTCGAATTGGAATGCATTCTTCTTTGAAGCAACTGCCTTAGCCCATTCCCGCATCTTTGCTTTCACTACCTCGCCATTGTCTACTAACTTCATATCATCACCCTTTCTGTGAACCTCAATGCTCAGATACTGTTGATCAGGTAGAAGGTATGGAGGTGGCTGTTCCGAGCCACATCGTTCCAATGCTTCAATGTTAATGTCACATTCCATATAATCGGCGCCTGCCATGGCCAGAGCTTCAATTGACATTGCTTCTCACAACAGAGTATTTGCTACGACTGCCGATGATAGAAAATTCAAGTGATTCCGAAGAGAGTAAAGGTAGCATTTATATATCAGTGTTCTTTTGACTGTTCTTGACAAAGTCAGGTGTGAGGGAAGAGAAACACACGGGTGTCGCATGAAAAAAAATGTACTTTGTTGTATCCGTGATCTCTCTCTCTCTCTCTCTTCACAACTGAACTGTGCTAAAAAGTGCAGACAATTATTAATTACTTATGGCCAGATGGCCTGCCACAGCTCCTTCATGATTTTGAATGTCAACATCTGGGATACATAGTATACTACGTTAATATACAATGTTAATGTTTGGCAAACCAAGTTCACGAGTATAAAATGTATTACATGTTCAAATTCAAAAAAACATGTGAAAATTAGAATTGAATTTTAGCTGCAGGTGGTGGGGAAGAACTTTCTTCTGCCGGCCCGTGCATTACGTCATGGAGGATGTTACAATCCCATCAGCCTCGGGAAACCTTAATGCTCCGTTTAGTAGAAAGGATGGAAAATAGGAGAGATACACTTTCTATCCTTCAAGGATGAAAAGTAAGAATGATTCACTTTCCTTCCAGCACCCAAGTTGTTACATTTTTTAAATTTAAATAAAGCTCTCGCTCACAAGTCAAGGCTTCAATTGCTATCAATAAAATTCAGTTTATTTACAAAAAAAAAAATGAAACAATATTAAGCAATATAAACTCATGTGAAATATTACATATTCCTTCATTTTTTTTTCTTATTTGTTCTTCTAAATATCTATATTACACAAACAGTCTCTCTATATGTATGATAGGGATGTGTATTTCACTTGTTCCAGATAGACTTGCAATGTGGGAGTTTTGTGCACAATACTTTTTAACTTTTTTTTATTATCTTAGTGAAGAATGCACTCTTTGTTTGAATGTTTTCTCCTTTTTCCAATTGCCCTGCGCCTCTAAACTATTTCTTCAAATTGTTTTCAAAACAATCAAAATAGTGACCCTCCAAATTAACTAAAGTTTATATCAAAATCTATAGCAAACCAAATGGTTATTTCATTTCGAATACAAATAGATAGGGTCTAGAGTGGTATAAGCACATGTGATAAGCAAAAATAGTCCAAAATCTTGTGTACCGTGTTTATTATGGTTTATCGGTCCGTTTATAGTATTTGAAATTAATACCAGCCCGAATACTACAATATAAATAAACTCATTGTTGGAGTTTGATCCAAACTCTCCGAATATTTTATTTCTTATTTATTTGGTATTAATTTTTAATTAGAGTTTTAATGAGTTTAAGAGTTTTGACGCATAAAATGTTCTAGTTAATTTTGATTAGTTTAATTAAAGTCAATTTAGAATTTAGAATTAGTTTAGTAGTTAAAGTTTTTAAGGCTTCTTGAACATGTAACCAAAAGGAGTGTGACAGAAGCTTTTATGAAAGAGAAAAAAAATTTCGGCAGGGGATTTTGAATAGAAGTTTTTTGATTGCCTTTTGCCGTAAGCCTTCGGCATCATCTTGTTTGTTTCTCTTTGGTTTGTCTTCATTTTTTTATTTCTTTGTTTAATTAAATTTTTGTGTGTGAGATATTTGAGCGTTTCATTTTATTTTGAGATCCTACAACTGGTATTAGAGCCAATTTCAAAAATGATAAACATGAACGAGTTCGTTCAATGTCCGATTAGAAAATTTGACGGGAGGTCAAATTTTTAACATTGGAAAATACAAATAGAGTTATTTTTCAAGGCCATGGATTTTCCAGATATTGTGAAAAACGAGTTCACAGATTTTGGAGATCTACCAACTCACACAAAAGACAAAAATGATGAATTGATAATTAATCAAAAGAAAGACAACAGAGCGTTGGTGTATATTTATAGAGCAATTAATTCATCAATTTATGAAAAAATTGCTCATGTTTCGACGGCAAAAGCCGTATGAGATGCCTTAATCAATTGTTATATTGGACAAGACAAGGTGAACAAAGTTTTTTTGCTGACCCTATACAGACAGTTTAAGCTTTTTTAGATGAAAAAATCAGAGAGTATATCATGGAGAAATTCTTCAGACCTTATCAATGAGATTCGAATTTATAGTCACAACTATCATGAAGTCAAATGATCTTGATTCTCTGATAGTTGATGAGTTGATGGGTTCCCTACAAGCTCATGAACAAAGATTGAATGAAAAGACTAAGATTTTAGGAGAAAAAGCCTTGCAGACTTAGACCAGCTTCAAGAAGGAAAAAGGCGAGTCCCATAACAAATTCCAATCAAATCAAATAAATTAGCATTCAAATAATCAAGGTACGTGGCAAAAACAAAAAGCTAATAATTGGGGTAAACAACGTGATAAATCCAAAATCAAATGTCACAATTGTGAAAAATTAGGGAACTATAAAATTGAGTGTTTTAGATTATGGAGACCCAATAATAAAAATTATCATACTAAAATTGTAGAGAACAATGATGATAATTTAGAGGTTCTGGTTTTAGCTGATAAAGTAATGGATGATGTTCAAAAGAACAAGTGGTATTTGAATTTTGGCTATAGTAACCACATGTGTGGTTACAAGGAGATATTCATTGTATTGGATGAATCTATTCAGTCAGACATTAAATTTGGGAATGCTTCAACCATCCCCATAAAGGAAAAAGGTAAAATTTTTATCAAGTTAAAAAATGAGTATTTCAATGCTATTTCAAATGTTTATTATGTCCCTGATTTTAGCCACAATTTTATTGAGTATGAGGCAGTTGTCAGACAAGGGGTATGATATGAGAATTTTTAATGGTGTTTGTACAATCAATGACAGCCGCCAAGGACTAATAACAAAGGTAAATAAGGCTCCTAATCACGCTTCAAATCTCACTACAAGTAAGTATTCTATAACATATGAATGTGTGTGGTCNCTGTATTGGATGAATCTATTCAGTAAGACATTAAATTTGGGAATGCTTCAACCATCTCCATAAGGGAAAAAGGTAAAATTTTTATCAAGTTAAAAAATGAGTATTTCAATGCTATTTCAAATGTTTATTATGTCCCTGATCTTAGCCACAATTTTATTGAGTATGAGGCAGTTGTCAGACAAGGGGTATGATATGAGAATTTTTAATGGTGTTTGTACAATCAATGACAGCCGCCAGGGACTAATAACAAAGGTAAATAAGGCTCCTAATCGTTTGTTTCCTTTACAAATTAATTGTCAGAATTTACCTTGCTTAGTTCTGAAATTTATAGGGATAATTGTTTATGGCATATGCAGTTTGGGCAGGTAAATTTTCTTAGTTTAAATTTTCTTGCCCGGAAAAATTGATTGTTGGTTTGCCTGCAATTAATATTCCTAGTCAAGTTTGTGAGACTTGTGTTTTGGGAAAAAAACATAGGGACCTTTTCCTGATAAACAAGTTTGACATGCAAAAAGACCCCTTGATTTGATTTACTCTTATTTGTGTTCTATTGAAGTTCCTTATAATGGTGGTCGTAGGTATTTTATTACGTTTATTGATGATTTTAGCAAAAAAAAACTTGGATGTATATTTTGAAAAATAAATTTGATGCATGTGATAAATTTAAATATTTTAAGGCTTATGTTGAAAGGCAGAGTGGGAGAAAAATAAAAGTTTTGAGGACTGACAGAGGTCAGGAATATATGGGTTGTGATGATTTTTTGAGAAATCATGGTATTAAGCATCAGTTGACAGCCAGGTATACTCCCCAACAAAATGGTATGGTAGAGAGGAAAAATAGAACTATTATGGATATGGTTAGATGTATGTTGAAATCTAAAAATATGCCTAAAAGTTTTTAGGCAGAAGTTGTTGCTTGTGCTGTGTATGTTTTGAACAAGTCCCCTACCATAAGTTTTAAAGGGAAAATCTCCTTATGAGATTTGGAGTGGTAAGAAGTCAGGTATTCAACATTTGAGGGTGTTTTGTTGTATTGCCTGTGCCCATGTTCCTGATCCACTTAGGAAAAAGCTTGAGTACAAAGTTGAAAAATGTATTTTTATTGAGTATAGTTCAGTTACAAAAAGGTACAAGCTTTATAATCCCAACACAGGAAAAGCGATCATTAGTAGGGATGTCACTTTTGATGAGCAGGGCGTTTGGGATTGGTCCCAAAAGGAAGACAAGTCAGCTACAATTGTTCCTTTTAATGTTGATGATTCAGTTGATGATTAGCCAATTAAACAGTGCCTAGCTGTTCAATTTCCGCAGCCAGAGTCATCTAGACATTTAGAACGTGAACGACACATGCCAGCTAGATTGGAGAATTATGTTATTGACACTGACAATGATCATTCAGATGATGATTTGATAAATTTTGTTTTATATGCAGATTATGATCCTATTTCTTTTAGTGATGCCTACAGGGAGAAACATTGGGTGAAAGCAATGGATGAAGAAATTCACGTCAATTAGAAAAATAATACATGAGAGCTTATTTCTCTTCCTAAGGGAAAGAAAGCTATTCAAGTTAAATGGGTGTACATGATCTAATATAAGCCAAATGGAGAGGTGGATCACTTCAAAGCGAGGTTAGTAGCCAAATGTTACAAACAAAAACCAGGTATTGACTATCTTAAAGTTTTTGCTCCTATTGCTAGGCTTGATACTGTTTGTATAATTATTTTTCTTGCTGCTAATAATTCTTGAAAGATTTTTTAAATGGATGTGAAATCTGTTTTCTTGAATGGTGTCCTTGAGGAGGAAGTTTATGTTGAGCAGCCTACTAGTTATGTGAATAAAGGAGAGGAAAACAAAGTTTATAAGTTAAAAAAGACTTTGTATGGACTTATATAGGCCTCTAGAGCTTGGTACACCAGGATTGATTCTTATTTTGTGGAGAATGATTTTTAGAGATGTCCCTATGAACACACTTTGTGTGTCAAAACTAATTCTCATGAAGATATTATTATTGTGTGTTTGTATGTGGAAAATCTTATTTTCACAGGGAATAATCTGAAATTAAATGAGAAATTC